CCGCGACTTTTGCGCCGGACGACTTTTGCGCCGCCATTATCGTTAAAAATATATAACTTCAGCCGGACTCACTATAGTAGGGTTTTCGGATAGTTTGAAATCTTCGGATATGGGGCTGAAAATCATGCCGGAATAGGGTTAGCAGATCCAAATATCATGATCCAAAAAAGTCAGAACATCAGAAATCCTTTGGGATATCGGATAGGGGGATTTCCAATGCCCAGACCTAATTCACATTTATGGTCCAGACCTAATTCATTAGCTACCGGACCCCTATTGTACATACTAACTGAACTTCCTTCAGTTCATTTTTTAACCTCAATGGACACACTAAAGTGAGGTCCGATAGTATTCATTATTTTATTTTTTTAAATTATGGCGGCGCAAATGTCGCGGCGCATAAGTCGCCCGGCGCAAAAGTCGCGGCGCACAAGTCGCCAGGCGCATAAGTCGCGGCGCAAAAGTCGCGGCGCAAAAGTCGCCCGGCGCATAAGTCGCGGCGCAAAAGTCGCGGCGCAAATGTTCTCGGCGCAAAAGTCGTGATACCATAGGATCATAATCAAAAGTAATTTGCTCTCTGAAAAATTTTGTTTAATTCTTATAATTATTTAAGCCGCATAAGTCAGGGGTGGCTCAAAACTTAAATGACAACCTAATTATGTAGGATTCTCGCAGTGTATTTATATTTTTACTTACCAATTTTCGCTGAATTTGATTTTGAACTTAAAAATTCTTCAGTAGGCCTATTTGTAGAAATTTCTTTCGTTGTCTTTTCAGTTTTTCTTGTTGTACTAGGTGTAGGATTAGTTTTGACATAAGGATTTTTTACTTCGATTCTTTCAGGATCTTCACTCGAATCCTCCCCAATTTTATACGAAAATTTATTGACGGATGTTCTAGTTATATCACTTAAATTTACAAGTGATCCATCGTTACAATACTCTGTCCCACAAATTAGACAATGATGACAATTATCTACTTCGTTCAAAACTTCACAAAAATTAAATTCGTTAATTACTTTTGGAACATTTAAATTTTTATCTGTCTCATTAAAAAAGTATTTAACATCATCCTCGTGTAAACATTTGTGTACATCTAAAAATAAATTAGTATCAGTGTATCAGCAGATTTTTCAGTTAAAGTAACTGAACTACATCTTCGATAATTCATTTGTTTGAAAATGTCAACTCTAACATAAGACATAATATTATTCATTTGAACTTTGAATAGGACCATACAAAATCAGCAATATATTAGCTTGTTCTTTGTTCATGGGGTTAATCGCTCGATTCATGAATTAACCTAAGAACCCCTTATTTGTGAGAGGAACCCTTGCAAGCCTAATTATTTATAATTATACAAATTTAGAGAAATAAGAAAGTGAGATAAACTGGCTAGCATTTAAAATCTTAAGCTGGGATTTAAGATTTGCACCAGCTTCTTCTTAATCTAGTAGAAGGTAAAGCTTAGAGCTCAGTAGATAGAGACAGAGTTAACAGACAGTGCTAATTTATTATTAAAATTTTTACATTGTTCTTCATTATTACAGCGAAATAAAGCCAAACAATTCCCTAAATCATTACTTCCCATTTTGGCACAGTCAACGCGGTAAGCCTGTGTTTTGTTGTCGTAACCAAGTGAATCATTTAAATTATCATTTTCATTGAAATTGTTGAAAAAGCATTTAATTGCTATTAAATTAATTTAGTGTACTGGATATTTTCAATATTTTTAACTAAATTGAGTAAATAGAGATCAGATAATATTCAAAACCAAGTTTCTATATCTCTTTTGACATGTTTCCGTGAATTTTTTAACACAAGATTTCTAGATATACGTTGATAAATAGGATATGAGGGCTATAATTAGGTTGGACATAATTTAAGAATAGAACTCTTTTAAATTTTTAAAATCTTGAACGTTTGATCTTATGAATTTTTTAAAATTTATTTTCTTTTAAATTTTTTTACCTTCAATTTTGATAATGTTTGGCAAACTCAAAATTAAAATAAATAATACAAACATTATGTCGAATTAAATTTAAATGAGAATATGAATTATCTTAATAATTTTTAAATTATATTTAATTTAAATATAATAAAAGGGGTAAAATATTGATATTAATATTGATATTAATTTACACTTTGTTATTACTGAAAAATAAAAATGTGTACATATACATATTTATTACTGAAATAATTATAAAAAATTAAATGATTCATTTTTAAATTTTTTTAAATTTATTTTTATTTAAATGAATGCAAATAAATATTATATGTATAATACATAGTTTACCATTTTTAGTGCAAAAATCACTAAAAAAGTTTTCTAAATATGCGATTGAACCAGGACATGTGACGGAAAACTTTATTCGGCTCTGGTTTAGTTTGGTAGTCTAATGAAAATCTGTAGTTCATTCAAAATTTATGCGTCAAATGATTGCTTATGTGTCCCATAAAAGTTTATGTTGGTATTATTTTTTATATTAGATTACTTAACTTTTCATAAATTACTTAACATAACTCTTCACTTTTTACCTTTAAAATATTTTTCAAATTTATTTTTGAAATAATTAAAAATTTAAATTTTCAACATACAAATATACATACAAAATTTCTCTGTAAAATTTAAAAGTAAAAATAAATATTATAAGTAACAATTGCACACTAATTTAGCACTAGTTTACTTATATTGCTAAATATACTCAGACATTCATAAAGATAACTACATATGTATTAGTACAATTATTTTGAAAAAAAAATTTTTATTTTTCAAGAAAATTATATTCTACTACTACTATAATTTTTAAATAAAATCTTTCCATGCTAAGGCTCAATTTGTATAAAATTCATTAACGAAATGTTAAGCACAAAATGACGAAAGTTTCTCAAGTAATGCTTCCTGAACAATATTTAAATACAGCAGTTTCTATATTCGCTTCCATTTTATTCATTCCACTTTCAATAATTGCATTAATAATTAATTTACTATATGCGTGTGTTTTAATTCATGGGCACCGATATTTTTCTACAAAATTTGTTTATATTTGTTCAAGACATTTAGTAATAGCTGATATAATATCTTCACTCACACAAATTTTTGTAATTGTCCCTACTGTTATTTTACCATATGAGATTGGAAGAGGTTAGTAGTCGAAGAAATGTGTTGACAAGAGTCAGATTAAAGTTTTCGTGTTTGTCTGTGTCTGGCCTTTAGATTATATCACGAAAAAGGTTCGACAATTGTACCCCCATTTTCCGTAGATATTTGAGATCTTGATGGATTAGCTTGTACAAACTTTAGTTTGTTCTATTATTTGAAGATTTTTTTATATAATTCTTGTCGTATAATATTTTTATTATAATTAACTGATCTAGATTATAAAGCACAAATTTTTCAGAAAAACATCAATATTTTTCATTTTAACCTATATTATAATTAGTTGATCTGATAATGTTTTTAAATCTAAAAGTTCTTCAAATTTAAAGTCCAACCAATCCTACCTCAAAAATAAAGTTAAAAAATTTTTGTGAATCTATAATTATGAGTTTTCTTCTTCTTTTGTCATTTCGTTATAATCCGAGTTATGCCCTGAAATTAATTAATTTAAATTAAAGAATTTCTTCTCTCTCGATTTGTTGAAACCGTCCTAACATGCGAAACACTTGCCCATATGGCAACATTCCATTTTATGTTTTTACAATCACTTGGACATGTTCACAATCAATTGTTATATTCACAAAATGAAATAGCTATACATGCTTTAAATAATTGGGGTTCTATTATTTCTACAAGTTTTTGGATTTGGTTAGCATGTAAGTTAGAAAATAGTATTGTATTTTTTGAATAATTACTCAGTGCCATTATTTTGTCAATGAATCATTAGAGTAATTATCCGAGGGCTGAAATTGTAACCTTTTAGGTCATTTGATCGGAGGTCATTTTTGGTTCAAATAAGGGCGAGAGTAATTAATGTAGGTGATTAATACGGACAAGGTAAGTAACAGGGCCAGAAAGGGTTTGTTAATAGAAAAGGAGTGACTATTTGAGTAAAGTTGATTATTTAGGGTGTCGATGAATTATTAGAGTAATCATCCGAGGGCTAAAATTGTAACCTTTTAGGGCATTTGATCGGAGGTCATATTAAAAGTTATCTTTATCTAAATAATTTTTAAAAATTTCTGTTAATTAATTACAAATTTAGTTTTACTTTTAATCTTCGGAGCTATTTTTCGTTGTGTTCTTCGATTTAATATTGTTAGCTACTCATTTTATTGTGTTTGTTATGATGATGATAATGATGGATTTAGTGGGGCTTATTTAATGAAACTATTGATTGGATTTTTAATGATTATATGTATTGGAATAAATTTGCTTGGAGCTGTTTATTTTGAAAAAAAAATACAGTTATAATCTATTTAATTTTTAGATTTAATTATTAAATTTTAATGAGTTATTGTAAATATTGGCTCATATATTTTTGGATATAATAGGATTATTTTCAGCCTAACAAAATTTCATCAAATAATTTGTAGGGCCAAAAATTCTGATTTTAGTAGTTTAAGTGATTATAGGAATGATTTGTCGGATTATCCGAAACCATGGACTTTTTCAAACTCGACTCCGGAACCCAAAATTCCAACCTTTTTTAAATCCTTTTTGAAAAATCTTGAAACACGACCAGAAACTTGACCCTATTTCCCTGCTAGGAACCACATCCATGCTAGATAACACACTAAAAGCATGGCCATGTTTATTTTTCCATTGATTCTAAACCTTTTAAAGCATTATTTTCTACATAATGGGAAATAAATTTTTGTTTCCTAATTCGAATTTAAAGATTTCCGTTTAGAAAATTATTTCCTGGAAATTCTCGATCTGCTGCAATATCCACAACCACAGCAAATATTCGGAGGACATCAATAAGCGTTAGTGTAATACATAGAATTCATTTACAACAACAATCTTTCCAATCAAATCAACGAAAAATTCTTTATGAAATGCTTAAATCTAAAGCTTTTTTTGTTCAAGTTGGGAAAATATTTTAAATATTTTGATTATTTTAAATGTTAAGGGATTCTATATGTCTTTATCTTTATTAGCTCGTTATTCAGGTTTTCATTTAATTCCATTATTTTGTTTGTTTTTGTATGGTAATGGAGTTCAATCAATTAATGAAAGGGCAACAATTAATGTTATGGGAAACGTTTTAATTTTGGTAAGTGTTAAAATTTGGAATCCAAATTATAGTCTTTGGGGTTATGCCTTAGTTTGCTTGGAATAACACGAAAGAGTTGCCAATAAAATATACATATTATTTCGATAAACTAACCTAACCGGCTGTCAAAATGATAAAGAAATAAATATGGAACAAATTCCAATCCTTGCCCTTCTAAATTGAAGGGTATTGAAAAATTTTTGGACATAATTTCGATTTTCTCACATTCCCGTTCGAGTCTTTGCGGGAGCGTTATGATGAAAGATTAAGTGACAGATTGATTTTGATCGCACTATATTTGTATGCATACCAGTTACGACCATACCTTCTGGTATGACCAATAATCCTGTCAATACTCATATAAAATTTTAGTGATAGGATAGTAGGAGATTTGTTCCGAACAAGGACTTAATTTAATTAAAAATAAAAATTTATTTTAAAGTTAAGCATCTGTTGCCACTCAATTATTTATTGGTTTTGGAACTTTCGAATACGTTCATTAACTGAAGAAGTTTTGATTTTTTTGAAGTCAATTCTTCCTAATGGTATTCAAAAATAGAATGGAACTTTTAACAAATTCTACAATCACACTTCATAAATAAAAAATTTTAGATAAATATTAAGCATAATTAAAATATTTAAATATGGGGAAATAATATTTATTCGTATTTAATTTCCTTCATGATTGAGAATTTATTTTCTTAAATGTTTCTTTAATTTTTCCAAATTCCTTAGCATATGCCTTCTTAAAGTCAGAACTGAAATATTTATTTTTAAATCTAGAGATACTCTATGGCATTAGTAGCATAACTAAATAGCGTATCACGAATGTAAAATTCATAAAAAATTGATTATAACTGATAGATCTTGTTGCACACTAACGCTAATATTAGTTCTTGTTGCTTTCTAATGCTAGTAAATAGGCTATACCCAATCCCCGTACGAAGGTCGGGGAAATTGAATGGTGCACAAAGTCCTCGACTTCGGGGAAGTCGCCCCCCCGTGACGCTGTCTATAGCTAAGTATAGACCACAACATTCACTGAACAAACATACAAATATTTCAAATAAATCGTGAATTGTGGTATTTGGTGCCTTCTATCATTATGATAATTTGATAAAAAAAAATTCTTACCTGCTAAAAAATAAAATAGGGCCATTAGAAGCTGCAGATATATTAAGTATAATTCCAAGATAAACTCTTAAAAACCAAATATCCACTTCAGAAACCACAAAAAATGGCCACAAAAGAGCTAATAGTAAAATGATAAAATAACCACCAATATTTACAAAAACTATTAAAGAAAGCGTTCGTAAAAATTTACGCATCTTTTCATCTGGCAAATTTGATTGTAATAATTTAAAGTACAATCCGATTATACTGGGTAGATATTCACCTCCTTTAATTTTTACCAAAATTCCAACAACAATATGTAATATAATAGCAATTAACATTAATGGTAACAAAATAATTCTCGAATCAAATGAATTTGGAGCACTAAAGCCAATAATTTCTCCGATAAAATTAGCTACAGGCCAATTTGGATATGGTTCTATAAAAGTATATTCCAAATGAACAATAAGTATTCCAAAAATAACAATTGTTATCAGATGTATTGAAATATAGAGAACAAAATTAAGGTTGATGTAACTGTTAATATTTAGAAATTATAACGATACTGAAAAATATTCTGAATGGAAATTTCTATGCTAAAATGGAGAGAAGTTCCAGTATTAGTTCTTTGTTCTTTGCCAGGATAGGATATGTAAAAGCTGTTATTCAAACTAGGGTATCTCCCCGAGCCTTCAGGGTCGGAAGTATTGGGGGATCGGGGTTTGCCGAGGAGGGGTGACGGGTTTCGAAATAGGGGTTGACTTTTGGATAAGTTCGGGGTCGGATGTCTGGTTTTACTAGAAATTCTTTAATTAAAAGTTCAGCGATCAAAGGGATGAAATTTTAATTTTATCCTTTTTTTATCTTGGCGTTACGTTTCGGTTTCATGTAGATGACATTTCTAAGATAAATCAAAATTTAATTTATAAAAATTACAATATTGGAAAAGCGACAGCAAGAAATCGATCCAGACTTAATGACCCAAACATAAAAATAGATGCAAAAGCACCAAAGATTGGTATAGCCTGATATTTAAATGCCACAATTGCTGGTACAAAGTTTATGCCTTTTATTGTAAAAATCAAAAAGAAAATATGCCCAATTTGATGTAAAATTTCACAAAACGAGTTGATAGCCAGTAAAATGCTTGTTTTGCTTTTCATTGCCGTATATTTTCCCCTAAGAGTTTATTTAATATTAACCAAAGAAATAATATTTTTTGGTTAAAATGTACATGTGATTTTTCGAATATTATAGGACGGATATCGATAATCGGAACTACAAAATAATATATTAAAATTACCAATATTTCACAACTATATAACAAACACTTGAATTCATTGAAATTCCAAATAAAGAAATTAAGCCCAGAAAAAATGCAGGAAGAAAAATGGCAAACTGAAACCCCGAAGATGGATAAGTCATAAAGATTCCCTATAAAAAATTTATTTCGATTTTTAATTATAATAAATTTACAGTTAATTTTAGTGTTGTATTAGTTTCATTCATTTTAAATATTTTTCTTGAAACTTTTTCCTTTAATTAAAAAAGATAAATTATTTATTTTACTATTATAATAGGAACAAATAATTTATTATTAAAAATGTAATATTATGTAGTTTAAATTTTTTATAGAATTTTTTTATACCCAATATAACGCGATAAGCTGTTTTGAAATTAGTAACTTGAAATAAATGAGAATTGAAAGATCTATTCATCTATAATGTATCATTCGTTTTAAGTTACTGAACATGGTACTTATCGCCATTGAAGTCAATTGCCAATATTTGACTTATCGCCTAGATAATTTGTTTTTTGTAAGGTTTAGTTTATTTAAAGCAAAATTAAACTTATAATGTTCCTAATTTAATGCAATAATTTTGTCTGAAATTTAGGTATATTTGCCTAAATTATACATTTTCGTAAAAATTTTTTTGTTAAAAAATAAAAATAATGGTAAAAATTTGCAGGTTATTTCACTTTTAAAGAATTTCTTGCTATTTGATTTTTTAATTAAAATAAGAAAAGCATTTTTAAACTAAAGGAATAATATAAAAGAATTTTAATGGCAAAACATTTCCTTAAATAAAAAAACAAAAATATCAAGATTTTATTTAAATATGACTTTGGAAACATTGTTTTTTGTATTTGATTGCACGCATTAACTTTTTTGCACAAATTTTTTAGACAAATGGTATCATAATTAAAATGTTTAAATATGGAAACATAATTTTTAAATGTATCTAACATTTCTTCATAAATGGGAATTTATATTTTTAAATGTATCTTTAATCCTTCCAAATTTTTTAGTATATGCCTTCTTAAAGTCAGAACTGAAATATATATTATATAATCTAGAGTTAACTGCGATATAACAAAGAATAATAAAGGTATAGTAGAATTGGAATTATAAATATACTCGTTTAGGAATTATTATTCACTGAAATTTTTGAATAGAATAACATCCTAATTGTAAAATATAATCTTACCTTTTAAATCCGTAATTTGGATTCCCATGTAAAATAAGATTTACTGAACAGCAGCTAAACTTGGGGATGAAAAAATTCTCATAATTATGTTTATTCTAATAGAGGGTGGGAATCGCTTATAAACTCTCCCATCTTCTACTGAGCAAACTTTTTTATACTATGAATAATCGTGAATATATTATTATCTTATTTTGCAAAAAATAAAACAAATTTTTACCTGCTATAGAACAGAATAGGACCATTAGATGCTGCAGATATATCAAGTATAATCCCAAAATAAACTCTTAAAAACCAAATATCAACCTCAGAAAACCACAGAAATGGCCACAGAAGAGCTAATAGCAAAATGATAAAATATCCACCAATATTTACAAAAACTATTAGTGAAAGCGAACGTAGCAATTTACGCATCATTTCATCTTGCAGATCTGTTCAGATTTCAAAATTATAATGGTATTGATATTTTTGTAATAGATTTCGCATTGTAAAAAAAGGTTTTTTTATATTTTTATCCGCCATTTACTCATTTTTCAAAGACACAAAATAATTCATGAAAAATCTGCTATTTCATAAAATTATTACAAAGATAAAAAAGCATGAGACTAAAAGTTATCTATGTTAATCAACTTATTAATTAATGTTAATTGATTATTATATAATTAGGTAAGTTAGGGTTCCGAATATCCGAAAACCCTGCATAAAAAACAAAATCTGCGGGAAATAATTTATAGATAAATAGAACAAATAGTAACTATCAATGTACCTTTTTTAATTTTCACCAAAATTCCAATAGCAATATGTAATAAAATAGCAATTAACATTAAAGGTAATAAAATAATTAATGAATCAAATGCATTAGGAGCAGCTGAGCCGAAAATTTCTCCAATGAAATTAGCTACAGGCCAATATGGATATACTTTTATTAAAGTATAATCCAAATAAACGATACTTATTCCAAAAATAATAATTATTAACAAATGTATTGAGATATAGAGATGAAAATTGAGCTTATTATAACTGTATGAAATTTGAATTACTGATGTACAGGGTGACAAGAAAGAAATAGCTAATTCAGCTGGGCTATAGCTATTTCTCTCCTTTAGTAGTTTCATCAGGCTTTCGATTGTTTTTCAGGCCTAATTTTTATCGAATTGGGCCTTACGATTTATGTTTGTGTCAAAATTCGATGCCCGATCGATCTTTCGAAACGAGCCCCCAACCCTAATAAAGATATACCTAATCAGTTAGTTCCTACATTCAAATAACAGTGTTCCCTTGTTTTCAACTATAGCTTGACTCGCGAACTTTTGTCCTAAATTTATGCACGGATCTTTATCCTGTACCCAATCAAACAATAGGTCCTCAAAAATTTTTGATTATATTTGTCCCTTATTTAATTCTCTATCATTTAAGCTTTTTTGTCTTATTATTTTTATCTGAAAAAAATCACCCTGTATAAAGCTT